TGCTGACTCTGAAGGTGACGGGGTCCATGGAGGACCAAAGGCAAGGAGAAGGAATGATACAAAATCCAATCTCGAAAGTCCAACTCGCTCATCAGGAAAGTCCAGTCCTCATCAGGAACTCTGTTTGTTTCATTGGGTAAAACTTTGGGCTCATTTTGGTCTGAATAGCAGGGTCCCTTGCCACACTTCCTGGGCTGATAAAAGGAGAGAAAACAGGAGCCTCTTCAAAAATGTCACCATTTAAAACTCAGAAGGCAAAAGACCAGCAGGGCAGCAGTTGTAACGAGAGCAGCAGTATTTCACACCTACTGTGTGCTTCAGCACAGTGTGCACAATGCACTTCGTGGAACAGTCATAACCATCCAGTATCCTCATTTTAGAGATTCAGAAACAGTATCATGAGAAGAAGCCACAGTGAGAAAGGACAGGGATAAGATTTGAATGCAGGTGTTCTCACCCCAGAGCCTGCACTTTGATGCTATACAACTTCAACAACTTAAAGAATGATTTTTTAACTTGATTTATTATTATTATTTTTTAAATAATAATGAGTGCATGTGCACTCACCAGAGAGAGACACAGACAGAGAGATAGAGAGGGAAAGTGAGAAAACAAGCCTCCAGGTCTGAGACTCAAACTGTGGTTTGGCCATGTGGGAGTCCAGCACCTTAACCACAATACCACCTGCTGGCCCACATATGGACAACGTAAATAACAGAATCTATGAGGCAGTATAAATCTTCCCAGGGATACTTTCTACTATCCACAGCACCTATGTTCCAATATCAGGGCATGGAAGAAATCAAATTAGGGATCTATAATAGTCTTGGATTCTGAATTCACCTTTCCAGAAGAACCATTGCTTCAAAACTTGTCTGGGGGTTGACTCCAACAGTCATTCTGTGCTGTATACATCTGGGTGCCCGTACATGCTGTTACCCTGTGTGGTTGAAATTCTGCCTTAGCTAACACAGCACTCTCCTTTCTCGATTTCTCTCTATCCTCAGTGTCCTCCTCCTTCTTCTCCTTCATTGTTCCTCCTTGTCCTTTTCAGTGTTGAAGCTTCTTTAACCTCTACATCCTAGGTAATCTCATCGCTGCCCAAGGCTCTGCTTCCCACCTATGCTTTCTCAAATTTACACTTCACATTTTTCTTCCAGATGTCAACAGCACAGTTCCAGAGGCTCATTAGGACTGCTGGACACTCCCATGTCCTTCTCGGATTCAAGAGGTCCCCACCGGACCTTGCTCCCTCCTCTCTGCTCACTGTTCTTAAATCTGACCCTCCTGGGGCCGGCAGATGGCATAGCAGTTACATTGTTGGACTCTCACATGGCTGACTGCAGTTCCAGACCCAACTGATGGCTTGAAACTCATGCCGGGCGCATGTTTGTGCATGCCCAAGATCCTGGAGGTAGAATGGAGGAGAAGGGATTCCAGCGTGGCCATCATTCCTGAAGGGTGATTTCTCACTTCTCTCTCATTGTCTCTGTCTCTCTCTCTCCTGGTGAGCCCACACACTGTAAGGCAAAAACCTCTAAAACAAACAAACAAACAAACAAAAACAAAAACAAAAACTGACCCTCTTTCTACAGCCCTCACTTCCTTAACGGCAGCACTGTCTGACCTGTCACACTAACCTGAAGCCCTGAGTCCATCACAAACTGCTCTGTATTGCTCACAGTTTTCTCTAATACACACACTCACTAGATCCCCACGTCTTTACAGCTCACTTATAAATGTCTCTGTAATCTGTCCCACAGCAACAAGAGCCCTCACATCTCTCTTTTGTACTATGGTGATGGTACAAGGTCTCCTAGCTCCACTCCATCCTCCCAGCCCGTGAGTGAGTGATCTTTTTCGAATATGAATCCAATCATACCCACTCCTGCTTATGAACCTGTCCCAACTCTTCTCTGCCTGAGGAGCATCATCCTAACTGCACTGCTGGGCACACGAGGCCCTTCACAGCCAGACCAGTGGTTCCATTTCCAGCCCCATCCCCATCTCCCCTCACTCCTTCTCCAGTCGTCCCTCCCCCTGTGATCTACAACCCACCCCACTGGGCTACATTCCACACACTCTCCACCAAGCTATGAGCACCCAAAGGGAAGCTTTCATCTTCCTTACTCATCTCTGGGCATCCGAGTTCATGATTCCTGTACTGTTAACATTAGACTTTTTTTTTTTTTTTTAATGTGGCTCTAGGAATTTTGAAGCATTTTACAATAATTTTTTGTTTTTCAACAACTCTCTAAGGTTGCACAGTATTTTTGCCTCCATTTAAGTGATCAAAAAGCAGATTCCTAGTGGTTGGAAACCCCGAAAGGGTACTAGAAAGGAACTAGTAAATGAATGAGCCGAAATTTGAAGCCAGGCCAGGAGGACTCTAAAGCCTGTGCTTTAGCTGAGACTAGACCTGAAAATCTTGCTGATTATGTCTACCACCATAATTATACCTGCAGGGAAACAACCAAGAAACATCACTTTTTTTTTTTTCTCATATCTGTAGCTCACAAAACCCTCAGATGCAGGTCACTTCGGGAGGTGGCAGGTGCCATACTTCCAGTCCAACTCCAGTATCTCCTAGCATCTGTGGATAGAAAAGCTCTACCTTGAAACCAAACTTTTCATACCCTCATTGAACCCCAAACGAAGCTCTTCGAGGAAAAGCACAGTATCTTTCTCTAAGAAAGGGGAAGGTCTGAAAATGAGCCTGGATTCTGCTTCTGACCGCATGGTCTCAATGGAATGCTTGGAAGCCGGGTCATCTAGGAGAAGTGAGAGTCCTAGCTCTGCCATTCTCTTTGTCTGATTTTATTAAGCAGCTGATAGCATCCTGCATATTTATTTTATGTCGTACTTACATGCTCACATAGCCGAGGGGAAGATTGCTTCAATAATTACCTATCAAGTAAAAAAATATGTATCTTGTTCACTTATTACTTTTATAATGTGGTCAAAAAAAGAACCACTGCATCAAGGGCCAGTCCTGCCCTCCAGTAGCTGCCTGCAGAGCCCTGAGCAAATACACTTCTGCTTCCTCAATTTTTAAAAATTGTCTAAGAGCTCATGCACCTGCCAGAGAGGCAGAGAGACAGAGAGACAGAGAAAGAGAGAAATAAAGTACCTCTCTCCCCCAGTGGACATGGCCAAAGCAATCTCTTCTCCAGTTCTCCATCCTGTCAGGACTTGGAGCATGCGCATACATGCACCTGGCATATTTCTCAAGCTGCTGGGGCCAGGGTTCAAACTGTGGTCTACCATGTGGCATCTGGCTCCTTAACTAGTAGGCAATGGGGCTGACTTTTTTTTTTTCCTGAATAATTTCTTCTGATTTAATTCTATTTGTTATTATTGTTTTCAATGTGACCAGAGAGAGAAATAAAGGGAAAGTGAGAAAGCAAACCACCAGGTCCAGGACTAACCTGTGTTGGCTATGTGAGAATCCAATGCCTTAACCACCACACTACCTGCGGGTCCCATTCCTTCTCATGTTTTTGAAATCAAGGGATTCCAAGTGGTTCATACATAAGCAATCTCTTTTCATTCTAATAGACTGTTCTTACATTTAGGATATTTTCCATCATCTTAGAACCTATGAGGGCCCTAACAGAACCTACCCCAAGAGAACTTACCCTGTATATAGACTATTTTCATACATGTTTAAATTTTTTTTTACTGAATATATTTAATATACACAGCATGATAGTCCTAAGGGAACCTACCCTATGTGATCATTTTCATACATGCTTTTAAAAAAGTTTTTTTACTGCATATATTTAAGATTTACACATGCTAGCCGTAAGGGAAACTATCCTACATGACCGTTTTAAACTTTTTTTTACTGCTTTTTAAGTTGTATGTATTTCAGATATACAACATAATATTTTTGTATATTCATACACAATGAAATGTTTATTACAGGCAAGCAAACTGACATATCTATTATTTCAGGCAGTTACTCTTTTGTGTGTGTGGCAGTCATATCCGGTTTCTAAAACAGTTTCAGGGATGATAGGTTAGAAGCTAATTCCAATAGTATTTTTAGGACTGCATCAGGGCATTCACACACATGCTCAAAAATTATTGATGCCACTCAAAACAGACCAGGCCCCCATCGTCCCAGCTGCACAAGAATGTATGGAATGTCCGATACAATTCCATGTGCACGTGAGCACTGCCTCATGTTCATGCGTGCACGTGTGTGAATACAACTCTTGGATTTACAGACGTGATTACTGAAACGCCACCCGGTGCAGAAAGCAAAGTGAAAATGAAATGTAGGGTAATTACACAGGCAAATATGGAGAGAACTCGGGCACGAGGAAAACACCCGTTATGCGTTGTCATAGCTGACACACGCATACAATAAACAGTTGCTAGGTTCTCAGAAAGTATTGTTTACATGAACTTGACTTTCTGGGCAGGCCAGCCACTGGCTGCCCTAGATAAGATCAAATGATAGGCAACATAGATGCCTAAGAAATGTGTGTTATGTGACTAGTATGTGAAAATGCTACGAAAAGTATAGGATGCAAAAGTTCAGAGTATTGCTAATATTCTTAAGGCTCATTTTCCATCTCAAAGATGAAGCAGGAATTACAGAAGGATTACTGGAGAAATTTCTTTTCTTTCTCGATGGTGTTCACAGTCACAGAAACTGTTTTTTGTCAAAATCTCTTAATAAAAACAATCATCGAGTAAAGAATGTATATACCCACACATTACTGATTGAAACGGGATAAAAAAAATCAAGAAGGAACATTTTAAAGTAAAATTTGATACCACCTTTTGGTCTCACATTTTTAAAAATCAGATAGCTTTAGGCAATGTTAGGCTCTTTTTAAGCCCATGCTGGGGGGACGGTGCTCCAGGTAAGGAAAGAGAAGGGGACTCTAAAGAGGTTCTTCCCAAAGAGGGAGTCCTGGGAGGTTTCTGCAGAGAAAGGCAAGTTCAGGCCAGGGCTGAGACGCGTCTCCCGGTGGAAGCCGACTCACCTTCCCTCCTGGAGGTAGCCCGGGCTGCGGGCAGGAGGAGCGAGAGGCCGAGGCAGCAGCTCAGCCAGAGCGCAGGCATCGCTGGGCCGCCGTCCGCGCTGCAAGGGTCGCTGCCCGGCGCCTCGCGGCTGCTGGTTTCCACTCTGTGCTCCGCAATGCCTTCCTTTCCCTTGATCAGGTGGTTTTATCGACTCTTCTACCTGACTCAGTCCTGACAGGAAGAGAGCCTGTGTTTCAGGGTGTGACTCACCTGTGAATAAGGAGGACCCAGCCCTCGGGAGGCAGACAAACACACACCGCTCACACCGCGTTGTAAACGCACCACCCCTCCCTGCCAGGAGAGCGCACACCTGGCCCGGGCCCAGGGTGTGGCGCCCCGCTGCTGCCCAGGAGCCTTGGCCTTCGCCTTCCCCTGGAATGTGCCGGATCCCCATTGCCCTCCTCTCTCCCCGGGTGGTCCAGAGCAGAATTTACAGAGGTCTATGCTGCCCTCCTTTTCTTTAAACTGAAAGGCCCAGGCTCAAGAGTGCAATGTCAGACATGTCTGCTGTCCGCATCAGCTCTGGTCTCAAAGACATCTAGAAAGACAGATCAGTCCAAGATCACAAGGTCCCCTCCACCCTGGGGCCTAAGGTCAAGTTTTTTCTGAAATACAGCAGCCTGCCCCTAGCCCACCCACTCTGCTAAGACCTCATTCTTTCTCTCACCATGCTGGACCAAGGGTTTCTCTCCTGAGTCCCTGTAACTTCCTGACCACCTGGGCTGGTGACTCCTGAAGTCGCTTGGTGACTAGTCCACCACGCTATGAAGACACCGTATCCCTAATAACTAGAACGGTCTCAGGTGCACAGGCAGTGCATAGTAAATGTGCTGATGGTTAAGAAGGAGGATCCAGGGACCAGCAGATGGTGTAATGTTTACGTTGCTGGACTCCCATGTAGTTGACTGAGGTTCGAGTCCTGACATGACGGCTTAAAACTCACACTGGGTGCAAGTGCGAGTGTGCCCAAGATCCTGAGAGAAGAATGAAGGAGAAGGGACTCTGGTGTGGCCATCCCTCCTTGGGAGTGATTTCTCACTTTCTGTCTCTTTGTCTCTCTCTGTCTCTCTGGCTAGAGCACACGTCCTATCTCGAAGGAAGGAAGGAAGAAAGAAAGAAAAAGGATCCAGATTCCATACTCCTTTTACATCTTAGAGCATATTTCTCATGCCATTCTCTGTACGCCTGCTAGATGATGTTTGTAGAGACCAACCACACACATCATCTAAGTTCACCATGCTAGGGGAAGTGAGTGATATCTAGAAAACAATAAATCTTCGTATATCCTAAATTGTCCCATCCTCTGAGGAAGCTGGTGGCAATAATTCAGAGAGACATCTGACCAACCATACAAGATGTACATACTTGTCGAAGGGTGTAAGGATTTCAGTGTATGCATGTCATCGAGACCTGTGTGGGCTGACTGGGACAGCAAGGGATGGTGTGGAGCATGGATTGCAGGTTCAGAACTAAGGTCCGAAGAACAGCAGGGGCAAGGCGGGCTCCTACGAACCGGCTGACACCTACCCTAAAATCTCTAGCCATAAAAAATGAAGACTAGAAAGAAAATTCCAATTTTTCATCCGAGGTTTGATTCTCTTGTACTCTGCCTAGGATTTGAACAAAGAACATGAAGATTTTTCTCTCTCAAAATGTACAGTTACAGGGACCAGGAGTTAGCATAATAGCTATGTCACTGAATTCCCATGTAGCCAACCGCGGTTCGAGTTCTGGACCCGGTGGCTTAAACTCACGCCAGGCGCATGTGCGTGCGTGCCCAAGATCCCAAGAAGAGAATGAAGGAGAAGGGATTACCTTATGGTCATCCCTCCTGGGGGGTGATTTCTCGCTTTCTATCTCTCTGTCTCTCTGTCTTGCGAGCACACACACCCTATAGCAAAAACCTCTTCCAGAAAAAAAAAAGAAAAGAAAATGTACAATGTGCAGTTGCACTCAAGTTGTAGATGATAAAGACTAGTGTTGAGAATTTTTCCTTCTAGGAGCGGGTGCTTAGTGGAAGCTGGGATTTGGCCCTGAGTCTCATGCTCCTAGCATGCCCACCCATCCGTGTAGTGTGCTGTGCGGTGTCCTGCAGTTCTGAACAAGGACTAGGACCCTGCAGGATAAAGTCTTGAAGGCAAACTTCATTTTAGTGCAGCCCATGATAGGTTATTATATCTCAAAAGTTGCGGCACGTACTCTCATGTACCACCCGTTTGGGACAGTGATGATAATAATAGCAAGTGCGTATGTGATACCTACAACTTGTCACTCACTTCTCTAAACCCCTTTATTCATATTAACCCTCTCATCTTCAAACAGCCCCATAAATTAGGTGTATGATTAACGTCTCCGTTTTACAGATGAGAAAACACAGGCATGGGAAGGTCAAGTAACATGATCCACATCACACTGGTAGTTAAGCGGCGAAGCTGAGACTCAAAACCAGGCCATCTAGCTCCATGGATGGGTCACATTAAAATCACTGTAAAAAGCAGGGAGGTAAATTTATAGTATGGAATGAAGTCGACGTAGTCAAAGATTATGTATCAAAAGTCATTATCACCCATCAGGTGATAGACTTAGCACACACTGATAAAGCCAGGTTGCAGGCAGCAGGCCCCTGGGTGGGAGACCAACCAGTAGCCTCTTTTTGCATAAACAGTCCAGGATTTTAAACCTTTTCTTCAAATGTAGATGCCTTTATTTATTTTAGGGGAGATTTTTGCTGTAGGGCATGTGTGCTTGCCATAGAGACAGAGAGAGACAGACACAGAAAGCAAGAAACCACCACCCCCTCCAGGGGGGACAGCCATACCACAGTCCCTTTTTCTCCTTTTTCCTCTTGGGATTTTGGGCACACATGCACCTGGCATTGAGTTTTAAACTGCCAGGTCTGGATTCGAACCGCGGTCAACTACGTAGGAGTCCAGCAACGTAACCATTTTGCCATCTGCTGGTCTCATAAATGTAGATGCCTTTAAGCAGGCACTCTCCAGTGTTTCTCAGTTCCTGACTCTCAGCTTTGCCTTATTCTGGGGTTCTTCACAACATCTGTATACCCTGGCTGGCTCTGGTCTGAGACCTCTGCTCTGGTTTCATTCCCAGCCTTGCTCGGGAATCATATCAACGCCTTAGCAGTCTGAGCATTTCCCCTTAGTACAGTGCAGATATTAAGAATGTTCTGGTCATTACAAGTCAAAGCTCTGAAGCAGATTCCTAGTGCTAAATCTGGCTTCACTATTCATAGAGAGAGGCTACTTAGTATTCTCTCAGCCTTAGTTTCTTCATCTATAGAATGGGAATAATAGAAAACTTACCTAGGAGGGTTATTGAGAAAAATGAAATGAGTTGATGACCCATTTAGTATTCAGAAAGAACCAGAGAAGTAATACACAGGTGTAGCCTTAGTATTCAGAAAGAACCAGAGAAGTAATACGGTCTACACAGGTGTAGCTACTGTAATTATTGTTATCACTGAATAAGCACCAGTTTCTCCTTGTTATAATTACTAACAGGCACCATATGAGAAAGATGGGATTTTTGCTTTAACTTTTCTACTAACTGATTAGTTAATTATGATTTTAAATTTCTCTGGCACTTTTGGCCTCATCTGGGTTCATGTTCAGATTATCAACCTATATGTAGAAGTGCTTAATTAATTTGGATTTCTGCTATATATGTACATGGAAATTTCCTTTACATGCACATTTTGTTTCCTAATGTTTTAAATTTTATTTAAAACTTTAAAGAAGATGGTTTAGGAGTCTATATTTCAGGGGAAATGTGAAGGTAAGATATTCGATATGTTCTTAGGATTAACTTTTAATTAACATACGCTTTTCAAAATGCTGCAAAAATCTCTGTGCTTATCTGTATGACCCAAGTACATCTTCATTTTTCTCAAATCCTCACAGAAGTTAACTTGATACTACTCAGCAGTAAAAATGAGTAGTCTACTAATACAACACACATGGGTGAGTCTGAAGCATCAAGCTAAGCAAAGGAAGCCAGACACGAAAGGGCAGATTTGATGTGATTTCATTTATATGAAATTCTAGAAAAGATAAAACTGTAAGGCAAGAAAGCATATCAGTGGTTGTCAGGGGTAGGGACTGAGTACCATTGGTGCATGTGGATATTCAAAGGGATGAAAGAAATATTCTAAAAGAGCTGGCTGGTGGCATGGTAGTTAGGGTGCTGGATCCCACATGGCCAACTGCGTGGTTTGAGTCCCAGACGCAGCAGCTTGAAAAACACACGGGGTACGTGTGCATGTGTGTCCGAAATCCTGTCAGGATGGAAAAATGGAGACGAGCTTACAGTGTGTTTGTCACCCAAGGGGATGTTTTCTCATTTTCCCTGTCTCTTTCTGGTGAGTGGCAAAAAAAAAAAAAAAATTGAAAAAAAAAATTCAGAGGTATGATTATGACCAAAATAATCAAATTGTGCACATAAAATAAATACAGTTTGTTGTATGTAAACTATACCTCAATAAAACCAACATAATAAGGGACAGAAAAAAATCTAAAAAAATTGATTTTATATAAGTAATATGATACTTCAAATCTGTGAACTCAGCCAGCACTGGAAACAGCGTCTGTGGAAAGCGGGACACACAGCTCAGGGACCAGCCCTGACATCTCTGTGGGTTCTGATCACGTTTAAGTTGAGCTTTCAGGCCTGTAGGCAGACATACCACCCAAGAATTGCAAGAGGACCCCTCTTCTGGAAACCTGTTTGTTTTGACAAATTTTAAAAGGTAAGAGATGCCTCTCTGACACATTTGCTCAGGGGCATGAATTTCAAACCCTTCCTGGGCTTTTGTTCTAGAAGTCCATGCTTGGTTTTTTTGTCTGATCCTTCCCAAGCTGTGGGCCCAGAGGATAACCGGGTGGCAGTGGGAATAAGATTGTAGTCAGAGGTTCTCTAACCACAGAGAGGGAGGGTCCTGAGCACTCTCATGGGGTGTGGCCCGGAGGGCTAAGGCCTAGAAAGTCCCCTGCACCCATTGTTTTATTTGCATCTTGGGCATTACCCAGGGGACTTTCTTTTTACAATGCTGTGTAAATCATTTCCCAGAGCTGTCATCTCTCCACCCTAACCCCTCAAATAGAATTACAAGTGACATGTTGATTTTTGCCGTGAGTTCCAGCATTACCTTAGTTCACTTTCAAAAGGAATGTCTGGCATGTCATTGGCTTTCAGACTCGCTCACGATAAAAGCTTACTTAAGCACTGGCTGTTAGCATGCCAGCCGGAGACAGAGCCCTTGGTCCCGAAAAAAATCTCTCCAGGTCATTCTAATGATGTCAGCACTCGCCTTAAACTTTTACAAGTAAATACAGCAGTCAGGAAAAAAATGGTTCCGACTCCCCTTTGTTCTTAATTGGTAAAGGAAAATGTCCATAAATGGAAACAGTTCAGTGTTTCCTGGATCATCTGGGTAAATTCTCTGAGGCTGGCCGGATTCCAGAAAACAATGTTCTCTGAAGCAAAACTCCAGCTGAGGTGGCAAGCTGCCATCTTACACAGAAACATATAGCGGGGGCCCACAGCTAGTTTTCAGGGCTCAGTAGCCACCAGAACGGAACTAAAGTAATGCCTTTTTATTGACTAAGGGGAGATGATCTTTTTTGTACGTTTGGCTAATACACCGACGCCCGGGATGTGGTGAGAAATCAATACACAACAACTTCATTTGCATCTTTTTAGTGTAGCTATTGCAGATGGAAATATTCAAATTGGTTATTTACTTAACAAAACAATGAATAGGGGCCAGTGAGTGGTGGCAGTAAGGCACTTGGGACCTTATGAGAAGGTCCCCGGTTTGCACCTGAGGCCTCACTGTACACCTGGGCACGTGTGTCCCTGCCATCCTGGCTGACTGAGGGGAGGACAGGGTGGAGGCCCTGCTGGGTGCCTCTTTCTCTCTCTGGTAGAAGAAATACATTTTAATAAAGTAACAGTACAACATACATGAAATGGGGAAGCTGGGAGAAAAGGGACACATGCTTAGAAAAAGACAAAACAGACAAAAACACAACAGAGGGTAAAAGATTCTAAGAGGGAATTTAGTGGATTTCAGGGTGTCAGCTGCTGCATTCCCTAAGATTGAAATCTGACCATCCACTCATCTGTGAGATGTTGATTAGCAGATAAAATTACCCAAGGTTCCCCAGGCACTCTTAAGCTTGGACCATAGCTATGCAGATTTGCATGAGAAGGACAAAGTAGCCCACCACAGTGACAGTTCTTCTGGGCTGGCAATGCTGGGGGTCAGGGCCTTATCACTTGCAGGCTTGGCCAGGTAAGCTGGAAGAAATTTAGCCACTCTGATCAGAGATCCCACCCTTGTCTTTGGAAAAAAAGAAATGAATCCATGAAACAATGCTTTTAAATATAAATCTGGAGCCTGCCTGTGGTCTAGTGCTTAAGGGAGCCAGATCCCGTATGGCTGACCCTGGTTTGAATCCCAACCCTGGTAGCTTGAAAATAAGGTGCATGTGTATGCATGCCCCAGATCCTGGCAGGATGAAGAAATGGAGGAGAAGGAATTGTAGCATGGCCACACCCCACTGGAGGCGTTTCTCTCTCTAATAAGGGACAGAAAAAAATCTAAAAAAATTGATTTTATATAAGTAATATGATACTTCAAATCTGTGAACTCAGCCAGCACTGGAAACAGCGTCTGTGGAAAGCGGGACACACAGCTCAGGGACCAGCCCTGACATCTCTGTGGGTTCTGATCACGTTTAAGTTGAGCTTTCAGGCCTGTAGGCAGACATACCACCCAAGAATTGCAAGAGGACCCCTCTTCTGGAAACCTGTTTGTTTTGACAAATTTTAAAAGGTAAGAGATGCCTCTCTGACACATTTGCTCAGGGGCATGAATTTCAAACCCTTCCTGGGCTTTTGTTCTAGAAGTCCATGCTTGGTTTTTTTGTCTGATCCTTCCCAAGCTGTGGGCCCAGAGGATAACCGGGTGGCAGTGGGAATAAGATTGTAGTCAGAGGTTCTCTAACCACAGAGAGGGAGGGTCCTGAGCACTCTCATGGGGTGTGGCCCGGAGGGCTAAGGCCTAGAAAGTCCCCTGCACCCATTGTTTTATTTGCATCTTGGGCATTACCCAGGGGACTTTCTTTTTACAATGCTGTGTAAATCATTTCCCAGAGCTGTCATCTCTCCACCCTAACCCCTCAAATAGAATTACAAGTGACATGTTGATTTTTGCCGTGAGTTCCAGCATTACCTTAGTTCACTTTCAAAAGGAATGTCTGGCATGTCATTGGCTTTCAGACTCGCTCACGATAAAAGCTTACTTAAGCACTGGCTGTTAGCATGCCAGCCGGAGACAGAGCCCTCGGTCCCGGAAAAAATCTCTCCAGGTCATTCTAATGATGTCAGCACTCGCCTTAAACTTTTACAAGTAAATACAGCAGTCAGGAAAAAAATGGTTCCGACTCCCCTTTGTTCTTAATTGGTAAAGGAAAATGTCCATAAATGGAAACGGTTCAGTGTTTCCTGGATCATCTGGGTAAATTCTCTGAGGCTGGCCGGATTCCAGAAAACAATGTTCTCTGAAGCAAAACTCCAGCTGAGGTGGCAAGCTGCCATCTTACACAGAAACATATAGCGGGGGCCCACAGCTAGTTTTCAGGGCTCAGTAGCCACCAGAACGGAACTAAAGTAATGCCTTTTTATTGACTAAGGGGAGATGATCTTTTTTGTACGTTTGGCTAATACACCGACGCCCGGGATGTGGTGAGAAATCAATACACAACAACTTCATTTGCATCTTTTTAGTGTAGCTATTGCAGATGGAAATATTCAAATTGGTTATTTACTTAACAAAACAATGAATAGGGGCCAGTGAGTGGTGGCAGTAAGGCACTTGGGACCTTATGAGAAGGTCCCCGGTTTGCACCTGAGGCCTCACTGTACACCTGGGCACGTGTGTCCCTGCCATCCTGGCTGACTGAGGGGAGGACAGGGTGGAAGCCCTGCTGGGTGCCTCTTTCTCTCTCTGGTAGAAGAAATACATTTTAATAAAGTAACAGTACAACATACATGAAATGGGGAAGCTGGGAGAAAAGGGACACATGCTTAGAAAAAGACAAAACAGACAAAAACACAACAGAGGGTAAAAGATTCTAAGAGGGAATTTAGTGGATTTCAGGGTGTCAGCTGCTGCATTCCCTAAGATTGAAATCTGACCATCCACTCCTCTGTGAGATGTTGATTAGCAGATAAAATTACCCAAGGTTCCCCAGGCACTCTTAAGCTTGGACCATAGCTATGCAGATTTGCATGAGAAGGACAAAGTAGCCCACCACAGTGACAGTTCTTCTGGGCTGGCAATGCTGGGGGTCAGGGCCTTATCACTTGCAGGCTTGGCCAGGTAAGCTGGAAGTGAGAAGTAGCCACTCTGATCAGAGATCCCACCCTTGTCTTTGGAAAAAAAGAAATGAATCCATGAAACAATGCTTTTAAATATAAATCTGGAGCCTGCCTGTGGTCTAGTGCTTAAGGGAGCCAGATCCCGTATGGCTGACCCTGGTTTGAATCCCAACCCTGGTAGCTTGAAAATAAGGTGCATGTGTATGCATGCCCCAGATCCTGGCAGGATGAAGAAATGGAGGAGAAGGAATTGTAGCATGGCCACACCCCACTGGAGGCGTTTCTCTCTCTTCTTCTCTCTGTCTCTCTCTGGCAAACACACATGTGCCCTCTGGCAAATTACAAATAAATAAATAATCTGAACTATCTTTACTTTTAATTAAATTATAAAGCCTGGAAAAAATAGCATTTAAGAGTCTAATGCTCTGCCTTAATTAGGAAACTTCAGACATATTTAAATGTCCAGTGATAACTTTGACAATTACAGTCCTGCCAGTCGGGCTGTGCTGAGCAGCCTGCATGTGTCCAGCTCAGGGCTCTGCAGTTTGTTCTCACCACCGCCCCCAAGGCAGATTCTATTATTATTCTCACTTTGAAATTACCTAGCCCCCTTCACAAATCCATCCAACCTCTCTCTAGAGTTATTTCTCAACTACAACATAAAAACAAATTAAGTCTCTTACTGGATAAACACAGCTTTCTTCAATTAAAAAACAAAGTTGAGTTGGGTCTCAAAACATGCAATGCCTGATCTTTGTAACATACTTTATATTCCTTTTTTTTTTTAAGGGATTTTTGCCTTAGGGTGCATGTGTTTGCTGGAGAGACAGAGACAGTGAGAGGGAAAGTGAGAAATCACTCCCCAGAGGAGATGGCCATGCCATAATCCCTTCTCCTCCCAGGATTTTGGGCACACATCAGGTATGGGACTTGAACTGTGGTTGGCCAGGTGGGAGTCCAGCAATGTAACCACTATACCATCTGCTGCCCCCCCCCATTCTTACAGTGACCTCCTGCACCAACAACAAACAAGGATTTGCAGTGAAGGGGGCATTTTCCTTTTCACATTACCTTGGCTGTTCTTCAGTTTACAGTGACTCCAGTTTCTTATACATCCTACATCATCCAGTCAGGTCTTGCATGGTTTTCTCTTGGTCTGATACTTTAATCTAAGTAAAGAGCACTTTATTAAGTAACTTAATTCATGAATTCCTTAGAATAATTGAAAACTATTTTCAACACAGCAGTCTGACAGAGTACAGGAATTTAATGGCTGTATCTCTGGCTTCGGCTTTTCTACTGCCTGGTCACACAGAAATCCCCAAACATTCCCGGGTGGTTCTTTCGCAGGAAGCCGACAGATTGGCTCAGACTCTGGCTAAAAGGTGAAATCATTAGCACTCCACAATGATGCACAGAGTTACAAACAGTGACAGAAAAATCTAGGGACCTTCCCCGCTCTTAGACATTTCTCGTAGCCTTAGTATGTCTACTTCAATTGAGCAGGAGGATGAATGCACTAATTTAGACAGCTTAAACCAAAACGCGTTAGCCTGTACTATCTGGGTATTTTTTTGGGGGGGAGAGGTTTTTGCTATAGGCGTGTGCACTCACCAGAGACAGAGAGAAAGAAAGAGAGAAATCACTCCCCAGGGGGGATGGCCACACCAGCAATCCCTTTTCCTCCATTATCCTCTCAGGATCTTGGGCACACACGCACATGTGCCCGGTGTGAGTTTTAAGCCACCAGATCCGGGACGTGAACTTCGGTTGACTACATAGGAGTCCAGCGACATAGCCATTACGCTAACTGCTGGTTCCCACTATCTGGATATTTTAAGCAAATAAATGAGGGATCTTCAAAATGTTTGCAGAAAATGCCTATCATAAAAAAAAAAATCTATGCATAAATTCAAACATTTTTTTGCCCTAAAATAAACTCATACTTTAATTCAAATTTTCTATGAACATTTTGAATTCCTCTTGTATTTTAAATCTGAAGAATTTGGACAAATGTTTCAATGTTCTGTTTACTATATGAATACACAGTCAAATAAGGTTTGTTGTTGCTTTATCAAAGATAGGAATGCCTTATCTCAGAGGCCTCTTTTAACACAGGCCTGGGAAGTAAATTAGAAAACCTCAACTAATGCAGACGATAGCTCTTTGGTTTTGCAACAGAATTGTTTACGTGGAATTAAATACATCTCACATGCCCAGGTATACTTAAAAGAGATTAGCCCTATGCAAAAAACTCCACATCCACACCAATACATATTACTTCAGCTCTAGGTAGAAGGTCTCCTTTTGTGTAAGTTTGTTTTTGTTTTTTTGGGGGGGCTTTTATTTAGTTAGATTTTACATTGTAATCTTGTATTCAATATTCTCTTTTCTTCCCCCTCCTTCTCGTTCTCCTCCTCTTTCTCTTAAATGCCAAAAGGCACAAGCACTTACTAGAGAGGGACAGAGAGAGGGAGAAAGCATCCCACATTGGTGTCTGGCCATGCTGTAATCTCTTCTCCACCAGCCCATTGAGATTTGAGGCATGGCACGCACGCTCGCCCAGCATGTTTCTCAAGCTACTAGGGCTAGGATTCAAGTCACACAGAGGGCGATGTGGTGTAGAGAACAGCTGAATCTGAGTTGAACAACGGCGACCTTTAAAACTGAGCAGAGCACAGACTCTTTCACTTGGGCTGATGCTGCACAGCCAGCCAAGGTTAAAGGAAACTGTTTCTGCCAGAGAAGGTCAGGTGGGGCTTATTTAGACCTAGGGACGCAAGATGCTCCATAGCTGCAGTAGATTATGGAAGACACCTGGCTTTACACTTCTTCACACACACACCCCACCCCACTGCCCTATAACAGAATAAACCTGGGAAAGGCTCAGGGCCCCGGCATTCTCCATCAGAGATGTTCCGTCCGCCTGATCCCTGCCTTTCTCTATTTGGGTGTCTGTGCGATTGTTCTTTCCAAAATCCACTACAGCTCCCACCCTAGGGAGTTCCCCCTTTTTTGCCTAGCAGGTCTCAGCAATGTGGAATCCTATTCCCTTAACCACCAGTCTATGGGGCCAGTTCACATTCAATATTTTCTACAGAAAGGGTAATTCTAAATCTTCCGACCCTTCAGGGACTGATGATGCAAAACCTATCTTAGAAGAAAATGTCTCGATATTATCTGCATTCCAATTTTTCGTGTTGGAATTTTCTGAAGAATTCTTGTAAACTTTATAAATGTATTTATTTTAATAAAAATTAATGTAATGAGCTTTTCAGAACCAGATCTTAACTAACCAGTCAACTATGATGTTGATTTTACCCCCTCTGGAACACACGCAGAGCTGAAAGAGAAATAATGTAGTAGGATTTTAGCCAGAGAGATGACACCAAGGTTTCTTAGCAGGAAGCAGTATTTATTTGTGTCGGCACTGGCTCAGTGGATTTACGTGCAAAGGCTGAACCCAGAATACTGCAGGGCCTTGCCGTGTATACATTTTGGTTTCTTTGTCTCTCTTATGTGGTAATACACATTTTGATTTGGTGGCCTATGTTACGGGGTGGTTATAGGGTCATGCATGTGTTCATGGAGCTACAGGGTTGTTATAGAAACAGATACATGGGGCCAGCAGGTGGCATGGTGGTTAAGGGCACTGGACTCCCACATGGCCAGTTTGAGTCCCAGACCTGGCGGCTTGCTTTCTCACTTTCCCCTCTCTTTCTCACTCTCTCTCCCTGTCCCTCTCTGCTTAAATCAAAATAAATAAAGTTAAATAAAATAATTCTAAAGAAAAAAAGAAACAGATACACATACATAGATATTGACCATGCCATGTTGCCTTTTTGTTGCTGTTGCTGTTCTGGGATGTCCCTTACCACAGTAACATGTAGAACACCATGCTGGTTCAGATCGACATCTCCTTACACAGCACCAGTAGATGTTTTTGGAGTATTTTGCTTCCATGACACTACTATTTTTTTTTTTGGTAGAATTCTTAATTTATTAGTTTATTATAATTTGCTATGAGACATGTGTTCTCACAAGAGAAAAAGGGAAAGTGAGAGGGAACGTGAGAAAGCAAGCCACCAGGTTCAGGATTTGAACCACAGTCAGCCGTGTGGGAGTCCAGTACAATCACCACACCACCTGCTGACCCTGACACTAACCGTAAATATTAAGGGAAACAGTCTAAAATATTTCTTAATTAACATACTATGGAATTATCATCCATAAGTTTGACCAACTCTTTTAAATATTAGTATTTTCTAGGAGTTTTTGATCTACATAAACTCAGCTTTCTTATATTGAAAGGACCTTTTGTTAGTGGTTCTAGTACTTTAGGATTTGCTGGATCCCTTTTCCCAATGTCATAGTTTCTATAATTTTATCTATGTGTTCTTTTGCCAATCTGACTGAAAAACCCCATTGTTTGACCCTTCTAATGCCCCATATTGACAATAATTTTGGTTGCTGTTAGGGTGTTTATAAGCTCTCCATGTATGTCCTTTTTTTTTTTTTTGAGTGGTTTTTTTGCTATACGGCGTGTGAGCTTGCCAGAAAGAGAGACAGAGAGACAGAAAGTAAGAAATCATGCCCCAGGTGGGATGGCCCCGCCACAATCCCTTCTCCATTCTCCTCTTGGGATCTTGGGCATGCATGCACACGCGCCCAGCATGAGTTTAAGCCACTGGGTCTGGGACTCAGTTGACTACATGGGAGTCCAGCAACATAGCTATTACACCAACCGCTGGTCCCCTCCATGTATGTCTTTTTTTTTTTTTTTTTGGAGAGATTTTCACTGTAGGGCGTGTGCGCTTGCCAGACAGACAGAGAGAGACATAGAGACAGAAAGCGAGAAATCACCCCCCAGGGGGGATGGTCACGCCGCAATCCCTTCTCCTCCATTCTCCTCTCGGGATCTTGGGCACACACGCACACGCGCCCGGCGTGAGTTTTAAGCCACCGGGTCCGGGACACGAACCGCGGTCGACTACGTGGGAGTCCAGCGACATAGCCATTACGCTAACTGCTGGTTCCCCCCTCCATGTATGTCTTGATGAAAGACCAGATTCTAAGAGCTTATTTTCCTTTTTTATTTTTACATGTATGTATTAATTTCTTTCATGTATGAGAGAGACACACAAAGAGATGCGAGATAGGCAGCCCCAATAGCCACCATCCGCCCCCAGCCTCAGCTGAACCTGGATCATGGACACACACCTGCGGTGTTCAGGGAGGTCTTCAGATGCAAACCCGGAACCTTCCCAGGGGGTCAGCTTTGCAGAGTGTTGCATTAGTGCTGTGCTGCCCTCCAGCCCCAGATGACAAGTTTCTTCCCTTTGGCTACACAATTGCATACTGGCAGCATAATGCTCTCTGATGGAGGCCTCCACGCAGGTCACCTTGTATGGTTATGCTCCACACCTCTGCATCTGACAGAGCAGGTTCAAGGAGCAAGCTTTGTAGAGTGCTGAAATCCACATGGAGCTTCCAAACCATGCACCCTGGCTCAGGCCCACATGCATCCAGAGGAAGGAGAACTTTTCTCTAGTTGGTCTACACAGAGAGGACCAGCTAGAGGGGTTTCTTTTTGTACTCTTTCTTCCTGGAAGGGGCATACTTCCTAATTTAGCCTTGGCCCTGCCTCTATAGCCTTCAGCAAGAAATGAGACCCAAGGGTCAGGATACATGGCTTCTTGGTTTCGTTCTTGATATAAAACTGAACATTCAGATTCTATTATTTAGTAAATCCAACTTGGATTATCTTTTCATAAAATAATAATTAACATTAATATTCACTGACCTTCACATTCCACCTTTCTTCTTGCTTCAGTTTTGAGGAACTGTTTCAAAAAAATCTTTTCTCTGCATTGATTGGATATTCAGTATCAACTGCAGCAAAATACATTCTGGAAGATTAAACGGTGTATTATATGTTCCAGGTAATTTACAATCGTAGAGAACATTGCTCCATCCAAAAAACTATCCATTCATCTCTCTAAGCAGTTCCCTGTGTATAGTTTTTTTTTTTGATGTCCAAAGAAACTACTATTGTCTTGTCTTATCGTTAAACTTACTTATTCTCCCCAAAGAAATATTCTAGTGTGATCAGATGTTCCCTTCCCAGAAACCATGGTTTCCACCCCCAGAGCAAGT